CGGGCACTATGCTCAGCACTTTATAAATATTATCTCATTTGATCCTCACAACTCCAGGAGGTAGGTGCTATTATTATCCCCATTTTACAGGTGAAAAAAAAACTAAGGTATACAGAATTTAAGTGGCTTGCCCAGGGTCACAGAGCTGGTAAGTGTCTGAGGTTGGATTTGAACTCAGGTTTCCTGACTCCAGGCCCAGTGCTCTATCCATTACTGTATCTAGTGGCTTTTGTGGTATAGAGAAAAGAGTCCTGCATTTGAGTCAAAGGACTAAGAGGTTCAAATTCCGTTTCTGCCACTTCCTACTTGTGTGAACTTGAGTAATATTTAACCTCTATGGGCCTCAGTTTATTCATCTGCAAAAATGAAGGGGTTGGATTATAGATGGTCTCTAATGTCCCTCACAGCTTTCTAAGATGTTAACATCTTACGATTTTCTGCACAAGTGCTTTGGCCTGCAGTAAATATTTGTTGATTGATTTACAACAGTATCTAAAACAGGAATTCTCAATGACAGTGGCAACTTATCTGTGTTCTCTAGATGATAATTAAGACAAATGAAACTCATCAGGTAATAAAAACAAGTTCCCATGGTGCGAAGACCCCTCCCAGCTCCTCTTTCTCCCCCTTATTCCTTCTCATATTAGACTTTCAGTCCACAAGACTTATTGGACGGTATGATGAGAACCGGATTAAAATATTCAGCACCCTGAGAGGCGTGTTTTCCTGAGTATTTAAAGATTTAATGGTGTTCATGGGTACCAAGCACCTAGGAAACTGGGTATCCAAATAAGAAAGGGCTGAATGGAGACAAAAATCAAAGAATTATAAATTCTTAGACTGATAAAAAATAAAATAAAAATTTAGAGTTAGAAAGGACATTACAGAAGACCTCATCCAACCCCCTCATTTTATAGATGAGGAAACTGAGGCCAGAAAAGCAAAGGGACTAAATCAAGGTCACAGCTAATAAATGGTTGAATTGGGATCAGAATTAGGCTTCAGCGCTTGCTGAGCATAGCACACTGCCTCCTTGTGAAAAGACAGAGGGGTTAGGTCACCTAATCCAAACTCCCACTCAAGGAAGGAATCCTTCTGCAACATTCCTGACAAGCGGTCATTCAGCCTCTGCTTGAATATTTCTGGTGATGGAGAACTTCATGAGGCAGTCCATTCCAGTTTTAGACATCTCTAGTAAGAAATGTTTTCCTTATAAAAAGCCCTCTGCCTCCTTGGAGAAGAAATATATTGATTAGGAAAAAAAATATATTAAATTTTCAAATTGTGACATGAAAGAGAACCAAAAAAAAAAAAAACCTTGAGTAAAGGCATAAGAAAATAATGAATGGAATGTGAGACTAATCTAATCTAATGCAGCCTCAAAGTTGCCCCATACCCTTATAAGAGGAAAGACTGATACATAATTTAGTTTGCATGTGTATTCCAAAGATAGCCAGCACTTTTCCTGAAAAATTTGACTTGTACAAAATCTGAGTGTGGTCTATAATTTTATTTCTTTAAAAAAAGTTATCTCAAATTTGTGGATGCATTTTTTCACATCACATTAATTTCTGACCAGATCTCTCCCTCCTCCCTTCCCTAGAATGTCATTCCTCATAAAAAAGATTTTTAAAAGAGAAAAAAAAAACATTTCAGCAAAACTAGTTAATATATCAAGCACATCTGATCACATATGCTAGATTCCACACTCAAAGTTCCCCATTACTACAATGAAGAGGAGTTTCATCTCCTCAGTTCTTTTCTAGAGTAATAAAGCAAACCAGACATTTTGAATACTCCTAATGCCTACCTCACATCAGTGACCAAGACTGTGAAAGATCTCAGGTTCAAACTGTAGAAGAATGTCTTCCTTTGTGGCTAGTCAGCTCAACTGGATAAAGTATGGAACCAAATTTCAAATTCAAGTCCAATTCCCTACAAACTAATTTCACTTTTTTTTTTAGTCCATGGTCATATAATAAATGCTCAACCCCCTAGAAATAACTCACTAATGGGTGCACGAAGGTAAAGGACCAGGATTTCAAAGCAAATTAAACATGACAAGGAAACACAGCTTAAAGCATATGCCCTCTGGACAAAAACAGCACCACAGTAGCCTAAGGAGAGCTGTTTGCAGTGACCAGCTACATGCCTGCTTCTGCTTGTCTTTTCTGGCTTTTAGTCTAAACTCAAAAATGGTGAATATAAGAATTGGCAATAGTGTGGGTCACCAGGAAATCTTCTTTTTTTTAAAAAAATAAGTGTATTATTATTGTTTTCTTTAATATAGCTGTTCCCTTCAAATTTGAGCAACCCCCAAGATATTTATTGAGCATTTACTATGTGCTTAACTGTGTTAAGCCATGGGGATACAAAGAAAAGCAAAAACAGTCCCTGATCTAAAGGAGCTCAAATTCTAATTGGGAAGAAAGCACGAAAAAAAATTGTATATAGAAACCATATGTAGTTAAAATGGAAGTTAGACTCAGGGGCAAGACACAAACAGCTGGAAAGCTCACAAAAGGCTCTCTGCAGAAGATGGGATTTGAGCCAAGTTGAAGGAAGCCAGGAGGTAGAGGATGAGAAGGGAGAGCATTCCAGGCATTTGGAACAGTGAAAAAACTCTCAGTAGGAAGATGGAGTGTCTGAGGAACTTCAAGACCATTGTCACTGGATCGTGGAATACACAGAAAAAAGTAAAATGTAGGAACATGGGAAAGGTAGGAAGGGGACAGATTGTAAAGCTCTTTAAAAGCTAGACAGCGAATTTTTTATTTGATCCTGGAAGGGTAACGCAGAACCACAGAAGTTTACTGATTTAAGAAGTGGGAGAGGCAGGTTGACATGGTCAACTTACATCCAGGGAAGATAGTTTTGTTAGCTGGATGGAACATATACTGGAGTGGGGAGAGACCTGTGGAAGGGAGAGCAACCAAAAGTCTTTTGCAATAGTCTAGGAGGCAGGTAATGAGAACCTGTACCAATGTGGCAGCCACGAGTGGAGAAAAGAGTGTGTATACAAGAGATGTTGCTGAAGGTAGAATTGACAGGACTTGGTAAAACACTGGATACTGGGGCAGCGGCAGGAAGAGCAAGAGGAGTGGAGAATGACGCTTAAGCTGCAAGTCAGGGAGTTCAGAGAACCATGGTGCCCTAGACAGTAAAAGTTTAGAAAAGGGAAGGATTTAGGGGAATGGGGGGAGAGGAAGACAATGAGTTTAGTTTTGGACATGTTGAGTTTAAGATGTCTTAGGGACTTATAGTTTGAGGTGACCAATAGGCAGTTGGGCAAAACAAGTCAACATACAGAACAGGGGAAGCCTGCAGATTATTCCATCCAACACCTCTTTTTACAAAGAAGGAAAAAGAATAAGAGACAGACAGTAAGTATCAAGGGCAGAATTCAAACTCATCTTTTTCTGCTACATCATACTGCTTGGGATCTTCGTCCCATCTCTTGGATCCTGGCATTTTCTCTGGCTGTGCCCGCCGGCCGTGACTGGAAAGCTCTCCTCCTCAACTCCCCCTACTGAATTCCCAGGCTTCTTGGTCCCAACTAAAATCACATCTTTTACAAGTCTTCCCCAAGCCCCCTTAATTTTACTGCCTCCCCTCCGTTAACCACTTTCTATTTATCCTATATATGTCTTATTTGTATACATTTGTTTGCTGGTAGTCTCTCCAATTAGATTATGAGCTCCTTGAGGCCAGGGGCTGTCTTTTGCCTCTTTTTGTATCCCCAGTGCTTAGCACCGTGCCTGGATCATACTAAATATTGACTGATTGGTCATTCAGGAATGGAATAGTCTTGGACTCAAACGGCCACCTTAATCAGAAGGAGGGCTGGCTTTGAGTTCAGAAGATTTTAAAAATGCAGTCTCAATTCTACCACTTGCTAACTAGTTGGGGAAGTCACTTAGCTGTTCTGTGTCTTAGCTTCTTCCTCTGTAAAATTAAAGAGTAGGATCTCAGTCTCTTCCAACTTTAAAATCCCATGATCCTATAAATGTGACAGCCAGCTACTACGCAGCAGGGCGAGGATGTCGAGAGTCTTCTGCCGAGGAAGACCCTACTTCTGAGAGAAATCTGGAAGCTACTCTGCTCACTCGAAACTCAATAGCTCTTTACCGACACTTTGACCCTTCCCTTCCCCTCCCCAGCACCCAATAGTCCCACCCAGCCACCTCAACTCTCTCATCCCCTCCAAAACTGTTCCTATAACCCCTCCCCCTACTCCACCCCAGGCTCTTTCCATTGTATGGCCTTAGGAGGTATGTCAGGCAGGGAGTGTGTGGCAGGGAGTGGAGAGTACCTGGCCTCCCTCCTCGTTGGTGGCCTAACAGAACCCACAGCTCCTTTCTGCGACCCGGCGGAGCCCCCCACGCACCCTGAGGTCCCTCGTCTGGTCCGCAGCGTGCGCTGCGCGAGCACTCCACCGGCTCCCGGCGCCTGAGAAGGGGATGTACAAACTTTCCTCCCTCGCGTTGTAAACTCTCCCGGAAAGACTTCTCTTCCGCCGGGCCCCAGCCGTCCCCCACCTCCCCGCCCCTCACGCCGGGGCTCCCCGCAGATTTGTCGCGACGAGGCCAGCGGCAGCTGCTTGCAAGCAGCAGCAAAAGCACTACCCGCCACGAGACGCACTCCAGCCTGGGTCTCCCCCACCCCCAACCCCTCACTCTTCCTTCCCCTCCCACCCCACCCCCCCAACCAATGCGTGCACCTCCGGGAGCTGCTGTCTCAGGCACTAACTGGCAGCGTGTCTCTCTACTGCCTCTGGCGGCCGTCGGGGCCGCGAGCGGAGCTGGCTCTGGGGCGCCCGACGGCCCCTCCTCCTCCTCCTCCTATTCCTCCTCCTCCTCCTCCTCCGTCCTCCTCCTCTTCCTTCTCCTCCTCCTCCTCCTCCCCCTCCCCCTTATCTCCTCCTCCCCCTCCTCCTCTCCTCTCTTCTCCTCCTCCTCCTGCCCTCCTCCCCTCCTCCTCCTCCTCCCCCTCCCCCTACCGCCCTCCCCCTCTCAGAACACTCAATGTCGGAACGTTCCGAAGATGACGTCGGAGCGTTCTCGAATCCCGTGTCTCTCGGCTGCTGCTGCCGAAGGAAAAGGGGAAAAGCAACAAGAAGGAAGAGCAATGGCGACACTGGATCGCAAAGTGCCCAGTCCGGAGGCGTTTCTGGGCAAACCCTGGTCCTCCTGGATCGACGCCGCCAAAATACACTGCTCCGACAGTAAGAACCCCGCCGCCTCCTCCTCCTTTTATTATCCTGTAACCTTTCCATTCACCTAGAGCCACCGGGAGAAAGGAAAAAAAAAGTGTGTGGGGGAGAGAGAGAGAGTGGCCCCCGGTGTCCTCCATGCTTCTCCCCCTCTCTCTAAATAAATACACATAGAGACAGATCCTCCGTGCATAGAGAGCGGCCCAGCTGCTAACGCTGTCTGTCCGTCCGTCCGTCTGTCTGTCTGTCTGTCTGTCTGCCTGCCTGCCTGCCTGCCTGCTGCCCGGGCTTCCCACCGCAGCCCTCTGGGTGGGCTTTTACAGCCCTACCGTGGATCGGTTTAAAGGGCTACTCTGTTGCTGCTTGCACAGTTTGGTTGGATTTTTTTTGTTGTTGTTGTTTTTTTGGGGGGGAGGGGGGAGGGGGGGGAGATACCTATCTGGGCCAGGTAGCTGGAAACCCAGACTTGGGATATAAATGTTGCATTGTCCATTTTTATTTTTTTTTTAATTTTTGGAATGGTTGTCCTCTGCAGTACATAGAATACATATATTTATATATATTCATATAAATGTTTGCAAATAAACACTGTTCCCTCCCCCTTGACTTTGGCTTTTTTTTTTTCTGCTTTTCATCTGCAGATGTAGATTTAGAAGAGGCTGGAAAAGAGGGTGGAAAAAGCAGGGAGGTTATGAGGCTTAATAAAGAAGGTAAGTGAAACCACTGGCATTTTAGTGGTAGTGTGTGTGGCAGAATCTTCACAGGATATAGCTAATATAATGTGAATTGTTCTGCTAGGTTACAGAGTGACTAAGGCTTGTCAAAAATTGAGCACGCCCAGGTGACTATCGCTTCGTGGTAACTTCCTGCAAAGTATAAATACAACTAGAGGGGGGAGGAAGGCTATTTAAGACAGAAGTTTACTATACTTCAGTTAGTATCCATATTGGACTTCCTTCTGCATATCTGTAATTCTTGCTCAAATGGACATTGCCTTTTTTTGGGGCGCAAAAATAACTAGACGTACATTGAGTGTACCATCCTCAAGCATATTTATCCTTTAAAAGTCATTAGTAACTGTGGATAAAGTCACAATTTAATTGACCCCACATGTCCAGTAATTTCTGCAGCTACTTCGCTCTCCATCAAAAACAATTGTACATGGCAAGTCTTTAAAGAGGTTCACATTTGGTACAATTTGCATTTGGTCACAGATCATTATGTGGTGAGCATGGTTATAAGCATCTGTATGTGTGCCTTCACCTCCTCTCCGTCTGTGTTTTCCTAGCATGGGAATACAGTACCTGAAATGGGACACAGTGAGTAGGTCATCACAGACCAAATACATGCAAGTGTGGCTGTGGCCTCAATGGATAACCTGCTGGTGTTGTGCATACGAACACACGTGTTCATCATAAATAAATCACATCCTCTTGTCATATATAAGCATGCCATATGTAGCTGTGGCCTGTGTATTCCAAAATGGAAACTCTAATGGCACCTTTCAGCTAAGCAAAAGGATGGACTTGTTTGTATTGTAGTGAGCTAACATGAAGTCTTGTGAATGGGGTAGGCATGAGTCAAGGAGAAAGGTGTGAAGTGCTATGGTTGAAAACAGGCCACACTAGCATCCCTAAGTTAAAGCCCCCATTAGAATCCATAAGAGTGCCAAAGGGCCATCCCCAGAGAAGAGGTGCTCATTAGGAAAATACACTGCCACCCCCCTCCCTTTCAAGGTCTAGCTGCCCCTAGCTGGAAAGATGTAGTAGAAATAAGCATGGCTTTGTTGATTGACCCCTGAGGACAGCATGCAAGTTTTAAGTTCAGTCTACTTTCTTATCTCCAGAGAAAAAGACACTCATATATGGAGAGAGAACCTAGAGAGTAAAATTTGTGCCTACACAGTACAATTCTTTAGCATCACTTTAGCTTTGGCATTCTGATTGTTAAGTAACAGCTTAAAGAATAAGACTCTATTTTAAATGTTTTTTTTTTTTGCTTTCAAATACTTTAGTGACATCTCAACCTTGTGTACTTAGGATGTGAGTGATGGAATTATGTTAAGAAGACTACTTAGGTGCTGCCGGCTTATCTGTGTTCAGAAGGCTGTGCTGGTTAGCAATGGAAATTGACACCAGTATGCCCTTTTCCTTTTCAAACAAACTCAAGGTCTTTAAGAGCTCACGGACTTATAAGGCAGACCACTAGTAACAGGGAACGTTTTCTTAGGATAGAGCATGAGATGCTGTGGAAGGCCCTTTTAAAATTGAGTTGAATAAATGTCATAATACAGGAAAGTATTGGATGGAATTCAGTGACTGGGGAGCTAATTCTGAAATAAAATGTCCAGACTTACAATTTTCTCCCCAAAAGACTGTCATTCTTAGATTCCATTTTTCCATGCAATAATGAGTTTTCTGAGGAAAGACAGAGAGCACTCTTTTCCTCAGATGTCACAAATGGCAAATCCTGTTCATTAGGTTATGTGACATGTGGAAGTGAAAAGACTTGTTGCTTGATTATTTACATTTGTATTGATACCCACTGATGTCAATATATGGTATAAATTGTGAAATTAGCCAGATAAAGGGTTCTGATTTCCCGTTGCTCATAGGCCTTGTATTGTGGTAATAGATTCCTAAGAGGTTTATTGACGTAGATATGTGTGCATGTTTTATTTTATGTCCGAGAAATGCACATATGTTAAAAACATGACCCACTATAGTATGGAATGTAATATACTATAGATCTATCTTGGATCCAGTCCAAGAAAGTATAGTTGCCAAAAGTATCCTAAGAGCCTCATTATTTTGGTGTCACCTTTAATAAGACTCTGTACCATAGAGTTAAAGCAAGGCCCCTCTGTGTGTGTCCATTATATATTCACAAACTATATAATATATGTATGTTTATACATATATGTGCTTGTATCAAGATAGATTTATACACCAAGGTAGAGGAAAATGAGGAAATCTTAAACTTTGTACAAGAATTGTGATGGCTAAGTAGGATAAAGTTTGGGGATGAGAAATAGTAACAGAGAAAAGTGATAGATACTCTCTTACACAGACTTTGATGTACATTTTATAGATTGAGTTACTCAGAGGGCAGATAGGATAATAATGTTAAATAATCATCTCTTGTTGCTGTCTAACCATTGGTTTGGTAGATATTGGATGGACTTACACATTTCAAATGCATATTTAGAATTATGAAATATTTCCCTCTTCTATTCACTCTTTCTTTAACCTTTCTCAGCTTTTCCTGTACCCATACATCATGGATGAAATGTTTGCTTTGGGATCTCTGATGTAAAGTTCTGATATAATTATTATTGATTTATCCAGAATTAACCAAGAGCATGGGCAAGCAGTATTTGGCATATCAGATTCTCATTTTAAATATATGATATTGTCTGCATATGTTACTGGATTATTCAAGTTCAAAAGGTGTAGCAATTAAATACTGTATCTAAGATACTGTCATAGGAAGAACACATTTTCCTTACTTTGAAAATAAAGCATTCATATTAAAAACAAAACAAAACTATACCTTATGTTAAATATACCTTGTAATTATTAAATTTCACAGTGTCAGAAATTCTTACATCCATCGTATACATGTATCCCATGTAATATTGTTTATCTGGCAACAGTTTGGGACTGGACTTTGGGCTGTTAGGGGTGTGGATTCAAATCTCAGTCATATATTTTGTGACCTTTTTGATGAGTTAATTGTTCGTTTGAATCAGTCAGGCGTTGAGATTAGATAAGAACGTAATTCCCAGAAATCTAGCATGTGAGACATGAGAAAATTTGTTTATGACAGAAAGTTATTTGTAAAAGCTACTCATTCTCTTCTATCATTTTTTTCCTTGATGTATAGTAAATATACCTGTATTTATTCAGGATCAGATGTTAGGTACCCTTGCCAAAAAGACTCTTTTCACTTTAGGTAGAAGAGAAAACATTCAGTAATATGTAAGGTTTTCCTCTTACTGACTGCCTTACTCTAATACAATTTTGGAGAGGTGTTTTTTTTTTTAATTTTTTAAAATGATTCCAGTTCTATAAGGTGCAGGAGTCTGTATTGCTTATACTTTTTGGTCATCTTTAACAAGTCCTAGAAAACTACTTAGGATCATAAACTGGAGGTGGAAGGACCTCTGAGGCCATGTCTTCCAATTCCCTAATTTTATAAGTAATAAAATTGGAGCTTAAGGATGTTAAGTAAGTTGCTGAAGGTCACATGGATCCTAAGCCCCAAAGGTGGGATTTGAACCCAGGTTCTCTGACTACAGAGCCAGGGCTCTTTCCACTTTATATAGCTTCCTTTATTCCAGAGTATTAGAATATGTCATTACTTGGGAGAAGAGAGGAAGGAAGAGAAGGTATTAGGGAGAAGGGCAAGGAGAAACCTCAGCAAACCCATCTTTTTAGAAAACCCACAGTTTCAAGCTAGTAATGTATAACCTGCTAGATTTAGGGGTGGGGGCAAGGAAAGGGGAGGGAGAAATAATCAATTCCTGTATGCAGTAAAGAGTCACTGAAGTGTTTTATCAAACACTAGAGATAAATACTTTTAGCCAATTTACGATATATGGCCAAGAAAGGTTTATGGAATTCTTTATAGGAACCAGAGGCTTAGAAAATGCCCCAGTGAACTATAATTTTTTTTAAATATTGTGGAATTCATAGAAAGGGACACCCTCCTTTTTAGGATATGAAGCTTGTCATCTTAGTAGTTTATATTTTAATGTTCCCAGATGTTATGCAGGTAAATTTGTGGAAAGTTACCAGTTTGCTGACTGTGTGTAGGGGCCACTGAAAATTAGCTGTGACTGTAGAGTTTTCTGTTCTCTTGAGATGTTGGTGGAATTGGGCTGAAACTGTGTATGGGGAGAAAGAGAGTATTGATTTGAACATCCTCGGTAATAGGGCAAAAGGTAAGGTTTAGGAGGCCTGCAAAGGACCTGAGAGAGCTTTGGTTGTTAAGGTATGTGAGCATGCATCGTTGAAGCCTTGTACTTGAAGAAAATGAACTCCAGCCTTTCCAGTAGAAGCAAATGTTTTTGAAATGCCAATGAACAGTGAAGGAAGGAGGGAAAAAAAGTAGTATAGATTTATGGAAAACTACAAACTACCTTCGTTTATCATTGTACAGGCAGCTTATGTTATGTATGGTAATAGGGGACCAAAATAAGTGATATCCACAGATTACCCAGATATCCCTATTTTAGCCATTAATTTCAATTTCTTTCTCTAGTGAGCCTTTTTTTTATTTTTCACAAACTGCTAAATCTGGCAAAATTAGCTGATTTTGAAATTCATTGGCCCTCCCTTTCTTTGTCTAGCCTTTGGTAAGGGTGAAGAAAAATTATGGAGTAGCTCAAAAAACAGAAGGAAGAGAAAATGGAAAGGAGAAGCAAAGGGCTTGGATAATTCACAGACCTATGTAATCGGACCCTGATTGATCAAGAAGTGAATGGTCATAGCTATCAAAGCCAATGTCAAAAGAGAAGCAAAACCACAATTACCTATGGTTAATTTTGAAGGTGCTTCCATTTTTAAAATTATGCTTTCCTAATATTCTAACATGCCTAGGTTCCTATGTTGAGTTTTTTTCTTTCATTGTAATGTGGCGGACACGATGTGATGTACACATTTTGCTAAACTATATTATAGTTTCTGCTGAGAATAATTTGTACAGT